CAATCTTGTTTCTATCAAACCTCTACTTTTTCAAAAGAGTTAGTTTCGTGACCAATGGGTCTTAAAACTATAACCACATCATTTGATAATATAAAGATGGGAATTCCCCAAATGGTTTTCTAGCTCTTGTTACTTACCGATCAATAGCCCATGGGAGCTACATTGAGTTCCTGGTACCGTGAGGACTTTCTTAGCTGCTGTCTAGAAATACCAGACCTGGACTCATAGACTGTGTTGTTCCATGTCTCTCTTAATTTCCCTGCTGTTCTTAATTTCCATTTCTCTCTTCTTGAGTTTAAATGTAAGTCTACATTTCTAAATCATCTCTTTTGCTTGCTGGATAAAAATGAGACAGCACTAAAGGCATTAAAGGGGTCCCATTACAGAAGAGCCCCAAGTATGTGGGCATCAGGGAAAGATGCTCAGACTTCACCTAGGCCCTTGAGGATGGAGAAGCTGATTTTGACCTTGCAGGTCTGGAAGTTTAGTGGCTGGTGAAAAACTTTTTCTAACCGTACCTCCTCCATCCTTAAAAGTGAACTTGTCTGCTTAGGTCAATAAATATTGTCACTGATTTTCAAAGGAATCAGTAGCTGGGCTTTTATTCATTGAGTTGAACATACAACCTGAGGAATTCTACAGTGGATATTCCAAACCTCATAAAAGGGCATTCTGCTTCATGTAAAACTTCTAATCTTTTCATTGCTCCAAAGGCTTCCGTTTTAACTTCAGACTATCAATTTTGCCCTAGGATTAAAAGTCAGCATCTTGTTATCTTATAAATATTGCACAGAGAGCTAGCCCCTTAACATAGGCAAGTAAAGAGAATAGACCTCATCTTCCCCCACGGATGCCAATGGACTTGAGAAAATGCAAAATTTATTACTTAAGAAAGCCGTTGGTGGTTGAGGGGAGGGCGCTGGTCCCGGGATGGCGGAGGGAGAACGGGAGGAGCTCTTTGGGATCTCATTTCTTTGCCTCCTTTCCCACCCTTACATCCTAACAGTATGCACATTAGAAGCTGTATGAGGTTTTGTTTGTTTTCAAGAGATGTTTGAAGGAAGATCAAATGCTTGTGAAAGGCACTGGATAGGCAGCCCTAGAAACTGAAATATCCCGGAAGCTATGTGAGCCCGGAAATATCCCACATTTTTATTTATTTTGGCAATTTTACTTAAAACTAGTAAGAGCTGGAGTTTATGCTACAATTAAATTTTCCTCAGGCACCATGAAATGAAAACACATATTACATTTGATTTTAACTGGTTGGGAAAAAAATGGTGGTTTTCTGAAAGTTCATTCTATGACTTTGAAATAAAAGTTAGTGGTTCCTCATCTGGGAGAGCTGAGCCTCAGTTAAGTTGGAATTATTTGTAGAGCTGGGGCTCTTTGGATTGGAAGGGGTCTTAGCTCATCAAGTTCTCTTCTTTCATCATATGCTTGAACCCACTACTACGTCACTGAAAAGTGTTGCTAATTGGGCTTGAAGTTTTTGACAAGACCCACTTCCATTTGAGGGGAACTATTTTTTTTTCAGATGGCTCTAATTTTCACAACTAAGTAAAATAATATTAACTAAAGCTTTAATAGTGCTTACTATGTGCCAGACACCATTTTAAGCACTATATTATATATTTGTACACATATGTGCTCACATACCCACATATAATCTCAATAAACCCTCACAACTACTGTATGAGGTAGATTCAATTATTACCCCCATTTGGCAGATGAGGAAACTGAGGCATAGGTAAGTTACATGATTTGCCCAAGGCCACACAACTAGTAAGTGAGAGAGCCAGGATTTGGACCCAGGCAGTCTGATTTAGCTTCTGTATTCTTAACCACTATGTTTTATTGCATCTCCAATCTTTATGATTCTCCTCCTTCACGCCTAGTACAGAGGTTTGCATTGTAGATGCTCAATAAAAAATATTTTCAACAATTTTATTTCAGGATCATGATTTCTTATATAGTCCCATTAGTTTCGCATACAATCATCAATTTGCCGTAAGAGAAACAGTTGATAATTAATACTCTGCCTACTTCAAGAAAACATTGAGGGGATTAATAGGCACATAACTTTCACCATAAAGTACTCAGCCAGTTGCCACCTTTAGCGGTAGGTCCTTGAATGATTTCAATTTAGGCCAGAGAAGGAAATTCCAAACATGCAAGACTTGTATAAGCACAATCCTTTACCTTCCTTTTTTCACTCTGTACTTGTCTCACTATCCTATGTGAGGACGAGAGGACTCATTTCATCTCAGTAGTGCTACTTATTTCTATGTTCTGTCTTTCTACCCCTATTCAGCTGCTTATGTCACTTATTTGTCCATCCATCCATCCATCCATCCATCTCCCATTATATGCCATGTATCACTAGGTACTTAGTATTGACACTAGAAAGGAGGAGATTGAAAGACAATAATAGAATCTTCCTGTTTACTGAGTTAAATTATTCGGAAATCACATGTAGGCATTCAACATGACTGCTTTAGTGTTGATAAAACTTCCACAGAGAAGTGCATTTTAACCCATAGACTGATAGTTAAACACTCTTTAACTAGAAAGTTCTATTGCTTTTTCTTCTTTTAAAGTCTTTGCCTTACTTCTTTTTGAATGAAATTCATCACTGGGTATAATTATAGTTTATCCAGAGCCTTGAGTTATTATTGACTTTTACTCAGTCATCAATGAAAGAAGGAAGAGATAATTCTCCAGGGAACTTTTCCATAAGACATGAACTGTTAATTCTTCTGCTGAACTGTGATCCCTTGAAGACCCATCCTTGTTTGCGGGCTACCCTCAGGTGATGGTTGCACTAGGTATCGGCTTGTGCTTGAGGCTGGTCCCAAAGCATGAATGTCTTAGCAGGAAGACTCAGCATCTCTTGAATAGGTGACTGGCCAGATGGGCTCAGGCACCAGCCTGGCTTTTGTCTGCTCTGATAAGCCAGGATCCATTTTGCAACCATAGCAGCAGTGGCTTGGCTCTTATCTGGGGCTTTAACATGCTTCTAATTGGGCTTTTTCTCCTCGGCTGAGCCTTGGGCGTATCCATATATCATATATCCTGGGTTTTCAGTGAACCATGGAGGAAGGACGATCCTGAAGTAGAAAGCATGGCAGGGGTGTGAAGGATCAGGCAGAAAGGAGGTTCCTTTATACCATGACACTTTCAAAGTAGGCTACTTGGATGAAATGCTTCACTTCTTGGTTTAGTCCCCTTCTCACCTCACGTGTCATCATTTGCTTGGCTGAGCACTTCTCTCTTGCTCCCTCTCTCAGGTCTTAGAATTCACAATTTGGATGATCTTCAGACTGTTTGCTTTATTATCTATGAGGACCCTAACCCTACTGTTTAAATCAACGCAGCTGAAGGAGATCTCTAAGACCTAAATTCTTTGATTCTACTTAGCTTTTCTTTGCTCTTGGGGAAATCCAGCGTCCTTGTTCTCATTCACTCCCCTCTTTCTGGTGGAAAAATATTAGATTAGTGGCAGACTTCATGTGGCCATTTCTGCCCCACTTTTCCTTTTGGAATTATTAGTCCATGTGGATTATATGCTATGCTGGCCAGAAGGAGAGCAGCTTAGAATCCAAGCACGTCTTTACCCATTTCTGGATCTTGGTATCCTTATGTTTGAAATGAAGGGACTGAACTAACTGTTCTGAGGTCTTTTTCAGCTCTAACATAACATGGTCCTAGTACTACCATGGAGCAAACACTCATAGGATTTCAGATCTAAAAATCTAGATTTATGTGTGTATGTGTGTACGAGAGAGAGGGAGAGAAAGACAGAGAGACAGAAAGAAAGACTTTTATAGGAGATGGAATCAGAAGACAGTAGTCAGACATCAGAAGTCTTCTATTATGGGCTGAATTGTGTACCCTCCCCGCCTCCCAAATTCATATGCTGAAGTCCTAACCCCCAGTATTTCAAAATGTGATTGTATTTGGAGACAGGGTCTTTACATAGGTAATTAAATGAGGTGGGTCTTAATCCAATAATTGATGTCCTTATAAGAAGAGGAAATTTGGGCACAGAGATATGTACAGAGGGAAGATAATGTGAAGCCAATTACAAGCCAAGGAGGATAGGCCTGGAATCTTTCCTTCCCTCACAGTTCTCAGAAGGAATCACCCCTGCCAACACCTTGATCTTGGACTTCCAGCCTCCAGAAGTGTGTGAAAATAAATTTCTGTTCTTTAAGCCACTTAGTCTGTGGTACTTTGTTATGGCAGCCTTAGCAAACTAATACATCTTTTATATTTGATTGCAAAGTGCAGGAAAAAAAAAGAAAAAGGTTTAATGACCTCTCGTAGGTTACCTCCCAGCCTTTAGGCAAATACTGGATGCCCTTTGGCCTGAACCTGGACTTGACTAAGAAATGCAGCCTCCAATGACACTGCATAAAAGGAAATCTGGGAACTTCTCTGACACAATTCAGTCTTGCTGAGAATTTTGGGCTAATATTTAACTTTGGACATATATTGACATGAACAATTCTTCTATAATAGATTCATACAAATTTTAAAATGCATATAAACGCCTCAATTTTTATCTTAATTCTTTTACTTTTATTTAATTGTTTTTTGGGGGAGGGGAATGTTGTATCTTGTTTGCCTCCTTTATGATTTTTATTCTTTTTTCATTCTTGTCACTGTCTTTCTTTGGACTTTCTTGGCCATTACATTTTTCTTTTCCGTTTTCTCCACGTTTATTAGCCACCTCCTACAACAGGTTACTTCTCCTCGGTTACACACATTCTCTAGCTCCATCCAGCCTATTTTTCTTCATTTCCTCTATAGCATTTCTCACTTTTCTTTATTGCTGTCTGCTTCTCTCTTATGGTCCTTGCCTCTGTCTGATTAGTCCTTTTCTCCTCCATTTTCCCTTTTTTGCCTCTGTGTTCAGTTTCTAGCTCCAGTCTCCCTTCTCTGCTCTTTCTTCTTTCCTTTCATCTGCTGACTTGCTTCTGTCCCCTCCTTCTGTTTCCCTCCTGGGTGTTTCTTTGGCCCACCTTTCCTTCTCCTCTGAGACTTCGTTTTCTTGTTGGTAGATGGGGGCTGATACTGTAAACATCACAAAAATAATTGCATTGAGAACAGATGGTTCCCTCGGTGTCTCGGAAGACAGAGCCTTTGAGTCAGCCCAGAATCCCGGGCTCCATAGGAGGCAGGAGACAGCATTGGTGCTGGAGAGGTGTCTAGACCTCACTTACAAGACCCAACATTCCAGAACTGTGGGAGTCGTCTCTGATCTCCCAACATTTCAGAACTTTAGGACTCATCTCTGATCCCCCAACACTCCAGAACTCTGTGACTCATCTCTGACCCCACCCCCTCCCCAACTAGAAATCGAGAGGTACTGGGTCACCCGAGAAGAGAAAGAATTAACCTGCCTTTGCCCCCTCAAGCACACCTTCCAGCCACATTCACCTAAAAGTTACTTCTGTGGTGCTTCCTCCCTGACTCACCCACTGGCTACTGGGTCCTTTGTGCACCAGCTTGTGTTCAGTCCCTTTTCATCACTCAGGGTGGCTCTCTGGGGTCACATCTCTGCTAAGCGCCCTGGTCCTCCTCCAGTCTCAGCTGCAGTTTAGGACCAGGGAGCAGCAAGGATATCATGTTGTTCTTGGTCTTTCATCTTGTGCTGTCTGCACAATGCTCATTTTGGATTCAAAGATTAAAACCACAGGTTGGTGTTTTTTATTTTTTTGTCAACACAGTCTCCAAGGACACCTAAATGAGAGCTTTTACTTTCCTTACTCATCCTTCATCGCTTTCTTTTTCCTCCTTCACCTGCTCTTTCGTTCTCATCTTTTCTACTTAATGACTAAAGTTTTAGTTAATCATTTATATTCATTTGTTCACTCGTTCATTCACTCATTCAACAAAAATTTACCTAATGTGCACGAGATGATATACGTACTTTTGATGGTGTATATGTACCTCTAAGGTTTCCTTAAAGTCTGGCTCTTAGTAAAAGACACCTGCAGATTTTGATCATTAGAAATTTCTAGGTGTTCTTAGGGCCAAACAGAAATTTCTATTTTTAATTTTTTTTCTTTAATTACATTTGCCACTGTATGTGAATTGCAAGCAGTTCTCATTTTAGAGTATTTTTTCTTTGCACCTTTGCAGAATATTAGGACTTGAAAGGTTACATGCTTTGTTATTAATTACAGTTATGACAAACGTTAACACTTGTCCAACAGTTACTTTGTGCAGGCACATGAAAAGCATAATGTGTGTATTAACTTACATAATTCTTACAATGACCTGATGAGGTAGATATTCTCATTATCCCAATTTTATTGATGAAACTAAGGCTTGGATAGGTTACGTTATTTGGCCAAGAGCTCTACGCTGGTGGTCTGTGAGGCTAGAACTTCAATTTTGTCTGATACCAAAGCCCATGTTTAGTTACTCTTCTCCACCATCTTCTGGTTATCAGATCGCCCAGAGAAGTGGAAGGGAGAATCTGCAACGTGGAGTAACCAAGGGGATGGACATCTAAGGTGAGAATGGAGATTTTTTGACTTATAAGCCAGGAGACTATGGGGTATAATTTCTGTTTGGCCCACCCTCACATAAGATACAGATTTCTTGAGGATGGCCAGATGTCATCTGAGCTGGCTTACCTTCTGAGCCTTGGGCATATCGGTGTGGCGCTGGGCACGGACGGAGCGGGCCGACTTGGCAGGCTTGAGGGGTGCGCAGTACATCTCCAGCCTCCTCAGATCACAGCTCCGGAAGCAGCACTCGTCCACGATGCCTGTCTGAGGCGCCCTCCGACTGCTGGAGCCGTACCCTGTGGGCTTGTCTGTACAAATCAAAAGCAGAGCAGCCTGGCTTTAGAGTGGAATCTGTTATCTTCACGGTTCCACCCAGACTCTGAAGACGCTCCTCTCCTCACACCTAGTCAACCTACACATCTCAACCTCTTCTTGAAGCTTCTCCAACAATTCCTGACCCCACAGATCCATCTGGATTCCAGTGTGTCTCCTGGGGTCTGTACCACATTCATTCATTCACCACGCACTTTACTTGTGTTAATTTTCCTCAAGTTCTGAGCCACCTGTAGTCAAGGATCTTGTCTATGTCCAATCCTAGCCTTTCCTTATGTATTGACTTAGTTGGGAAGTCAATTTAGCTGCTAGAAATATTAATTAGAAGAAGATTGTGTCTTAAGTTGTCTTAATCTTGTTAGCAAATCTCCATAGTTGTTATGCACAGGACAGCTCAGATGTTTGCTCTTTTGCTTAACTGCTTCCATTATAACATCAGATTGAGCATCAAAGAGGTTTCAGTCTGGAAAGGACTCCTCATTCTACTGATGAGAAAACTGAGACTCAGAGTTGAGAATGACTTGCTCAAGGTCATTCATGCAGTAGGTAGTGGAGCCAGGATTCAAACTCAGATCTACTTCCTGCAGAGCTTAAGGGACTCACAGAGCCAAGAGACCTGTTGTAAGACTCTGGACATGTCATTTAAGCTTTCTGGATCCCAGCTTACCCATTCGTAAAGTGGGGTTAATAATATCTTCCTTGTAAGAATTGCTTGAGGATTACACATGATAATATATGAAAAGTGCTTAGCACATTACTGGCATGTTGTAGGTCCTAAATAAATATGGGTTTGCTTCCTCTAAGCACCCCTTTCCAGGATCTTATATGATTTGTGAAGAAACGGCATCCCACTAGTGACTGCACCCAGAAACTTGGGTGCTGGAACTTGGAACTGATGACAAAACCAATGTGATAGGGCTCCCTCTCCTATCACCCAGAGAGACCAGAGAAATCAATTCTGTTTTCTTGTAGAATAGCTACTAGACTGAGACAGGATGGACTAAATGTCCATCTTTCACGCAATTCTGATTGCCCAGAGGGAACACCATAAATCAAATTTCTTTTGATATTTACAAATCAATTAGACCTCTTTCCTTGGCAAGTAAGTTTTGGTTTGGTTTTATTTTGTTTTGTTTTGATTTGGATGTACTTTTCTTGGCTCTAGAATTAAAAAAGAGGGCAAAACAAGCTTACATGAACTTGTTACAAGAACTTAAAATGTACCTGAATTCTTTGTAAACTTTTTGTTATAGTAGAATGTTTGTTAAACTAAATCTTGCCTATACAACAATATATAAAACAGACAGTGAAACTGTTCTGGCTCAGGCAAGGGCAGGGGGACTGGATCTCAGCTTTCTGTCATCTCCCTTACCTCCCTTGGGAGGTGGGGGGCCTGGGTATTCTGTACTGACATTCAGGCTTCATGGAAGAAAATTTGTGAACCATTGACCCAGAAGAATCCAATTAATCAATCTGACATATATTCAATCTTAATTCCTGACCCAGAAGACAGTGTTATATTTTAAATAAAAAGTCTTACGTTAGCATAATAATGACACCACTCTTTAGGATGGAGTTTTGAAAGTCAAAATCTCCAAGTATACTTTGAACTCTCTCGTTGGGGAAGATCAGACCCATGGTCATGGCCTGCTACCAAACTAGTTTGGCCGCCTCACTGCTCAAAGGGCCAACCGTTCGTGGCATCCTCCAAGAACCCAAATGTTTTCCTGATGCCTGGCACAAAAGCCTGGAGATGCTTCCTCCCTGTGAGGCAGGTTTACTGTCATTCTTAGGCCAGCTGAGGGTAGTAACTCAGCGAGGATTCATTTGTGGTCTCTCTGGGCGGGGTCTGCTACTTTTGCCTGTGGGTAAACCCTGTGGGCTCCTCCTGGTTGAGGGGTTTGGGAGACCGGACAACTGGCCCCAACTAGAGCCTCAGCAGTGCTTTCACTTGCCATTGGAGGATTGACTATTGCAGAAGACTCTGTTCTCCTCGCCAGCTGGGCCCTGGCAAGCGGAGACTCGGCTGGTCCCTTGGGCAATGTAAACAATGTTTTTTGTTTTTTTGTTTTTATACTCTTTTCCTGGGACTATAAATTAGAGGAAAGACACAAATGGGATTACATGGTTCTTTGTAATCCACAAAGGACTTCTACATACTTTTTGCTAAGTGGCTATTTCAAGAGGCCCAAGGGGTCAGCCAGTCAAGAGTAGACGAGACACTCTTGTTTTTTCTCCTGGTGTGGGAGGAAGGAGAAGGTGACAGCCTACTTTGAGGTAACTTTCCCTGTTGTCCACACAGGTAACCAGTGCTCTTTGTTGAAACTATAGATTTCTTAATGGGACATAATTGAGATTTGTTTGTTGACTATGGAACGGTAATTTGATGCTTGGAAGTAGGGTTGTAGAAGTGGTTCCAGAAACCTCCAAACTTGGCTAACTCAGTTTCAAAATTCATGCTTATGGGTTGAAGATGGAGATGTAGAGACTTTGTGATTCCAGGACCTATTTAGCGTTTCCATTTCCAGCATCTCTAAAGTAATCTTCCTTCTGATTCTGACCCATAGGTTCTGGAGCAACTTGCCTGCTACCGAAAGAAGACACCAACCTTTATCTTGGGATGGCAGAAAATGTATGTATTGCATATTCCCTTCCTGACGACTATCAACAGCCATGAAACTCACTACAGGTCTATTTCCTCTTGTGGGATAGAAAGTAATCATCAGCACAGCAACAAACAGCATACACCAGATGTCTGGTTTGTCACCCTTCTTAGATGAACTCGGAGTTTGATAGGCTCAGGCTATAAAATGGCTGTGCTTTTTTAGTCCATAGATCAATGAATTTATGAACAGAGAAATTTAGGACTTTTCTGTACTGTTCCATAAAGAAAGTTTACCTTACATCTATATCTATTTTTTTTTAAATGCTGTTGAAATAGTGGTATACAGACTTGGATTTTCACAGAAATGTAACTACCAGTTATCTCTGGCTACTTTAATCCCAGAGAGATGTTTTTCTTTGTCTATTCATAATGTCTACAATGGACTAATTGTTCTTCATTGGAAATATATGAATATAACAAGTGTCTACCTATTGCCTTTTAAAGTTTAATTCATCCTTTGAAGTGTCCTATAGGCTTAATTTCTCATTCTACAACAAAATACTTAACAAAAAAATCATTTCTCACCAAGTGAGAGACCACAGTGGAGGGTCGAAGTTTTGCCCTTTATCTTCAGATGTCTCACATTACTTCTTTTTCCAGAACCAAAATAAAGACACTTGTTGCTACAGGCTAAAACTAGAAGCCTGACACAATGTGGCTTACAAGGAAGGCAGTAAAATAATTTGTTCCAGTAACAATTGTGAGAAAAATAGGGATTTTTAAAATGACCGTTAAATTGCAGCTATTGTCATTATGACTAATTTTTAAATGAGATAGAATGAATGGTTCCATCCATGCCTTTAAAAATTTCTCATTAGACACTGTAATTCTGCTCCAGTAGGTAGAATCAGAATGGGTAGGCAAAGAAGAAACAAATATTGGCTTAATATAAGAATAAAATTTCTAATGATTTCTACTCAAAAGTGTTAAAAATGAGACAGAGTTCTTTTAAAGTAATGAACTTCTCATTGTTAGAAGCAGTTAAGTAAAGATTGTACGAACATCTGTCAGAGATCCTAGAATCATATTCCTTTATTGAACACAGTATATGACTGCTATGGTCCTTTCTATTCCAAAGATTCTGTAATAAGTGAAGAAATGGAGGAGAAAACACATCTAGGCCAAATAGTCAGTGTGATTGGAAGACACTTACATTGTCTTCAAGAAAGAGTTCTAATAGTTTCTAACTTATAAGATGAAAATTTGTTTTCTATTTATCATTTGAGTTCCTCAAGATGCTGAAATATTTTTCCTTACTTGGTACTACAACAAAAGACAGGTGATTGGGACAGTCCCTTCTACAACTAGGTACAGTCCCAGAGTCTACTGTACTGGCATTAGGAAGCATCCATGTACTCACTCAACTGTTAGAGTGAACAAGCATGTATAAAATTTCACAGAATTTTCCTTGCTGACAAAGTGTTGATATTGAAAATTTACATATTTATATATTTGTTTTATCAGTAATTTTGCTCCAGAGCATGCAGACCAAAGATTGCTTAGCAGACAAGTTGCCACCGCCTAACCACGACCTTGACTCCTCTATGAGTAGACATAATGTGTAGTCATAGTGTACTGCTGTGTCTTGAAAGTTGGCCGACAGACAGAATTCCAATGGTTAAACAACTGGCTTCTATAATAATGGCACTTCCCTTTAAATAATGCATGGTCAGTGGAGTAATTCAATAATCTTCAGGGCAAACTTGCTAGTTACAAGGGTTTTGGTCAGAATTGTGGCATCATCAAAACCACACCAATTAGCTGAGTCTCACATTTTGTCATGGATGCAAGCGACTAGCTTCCCTCCATCTCTGAAGGAGAAGGTGTAACGCTGAGACTTAACTGGGGCCATCACTTCTCAAGCAAAGAGCTCTGGTTGTTCATCACTGATAAAATGGTACTACCTCTACTCGTGCTGCAAAAGCTTGTGTTTCTTATAGATTTCTGGAAATGCAGTTGGGACATGGGACTCAACTTTAATTTCCTTTGAAACTTCCCCTCTTGTTTATTGAAAAAGCTTTACTTAGTTATTTTAACTCTATCTTTGGAAAGAGGAGACATTGATTTGAAGAATCAGTATTTTTAAAAAAATGCAAACATTTTTCAGGTAGGGAAATATCCAGTTCTAAGACATACACTTGTTACTCTTTGGGTTCTGAGGAATAAAACTAGTTTCTAGAAATTGCTAACAGGAGGAGTTTTTAAAGTTGATCCTGTTTTGAAAGCAGGAAAAAGGAAGTAAGACAATTCAAGTTGGATTTTGAGGGCTATTTCCGGAAAATTTACAATTATGTGTCTGATAGAAAACACAAAGGGGATTATTAACTGATAAAAACTAAATTGCATTTAACTTTGATTAACTGAGAATTAATTACACAATCAAATATGACAGTTAAAATCTATAGAAGCTTGAAAATTAGATTTCTTACACCAACTACTTATCCAAAATTTCTAGACATGTTGACAATTTAGATTAACTCAGAGTGGTTAATTTCTTAGGGCAACGTTGCCCCATGGGCCTCTGTATCTAATCAAAATTTATTCAGTTGATATAATTTTGCCTGGGATACTAGTAGGAAAGTTGGATAAAATAGGAGTAATCTTAAAGTCATCTCCATTTTAGCATTTTAATTGTTATTTTCATTTGTGGAAAAGTGAGAATGACTTCTCAATCTTTCATACACATTTCGTGGCTTTATATGGAAAACTGGACACCTTTTGTGAATTACAAATATAAGGAAAATTGTGATAAGACATTATCAAGACCCAAAATGTAATGCACTGATACTATTGAATGGTTATTTCCTGAATTTGTAGGATTTGCATTTAACTTAAAACCTTTTAGTGAGTCAAGAAAAATATACTTTTGAAAAGAGTTCTGTGAAAATCACACTTGAATTAAAGCAATTATTTATAATAAAGGTATATATATAAATAATATAGGTATATATACTATAATAATATATAGTATATATAATAATATAGATAATAAAGGTATATATAGTCATGTGCTCAGTAAAGATTTGGAAAGGAGCTTTCGCTACTATAAACTAGCCACATCATTACATACTTAGAATACCATGGGTGTGTACACACACATGCTCAAACACATACTAGGGAATGAAGTGGTTTACCACCAGTATCAAAGCTATCATCAAACATTTTGAAATTGGGATTGTTTTTGAAGTTTTTCTAAAATATTTACCTACTGCCTGCCTTATATGTTGCTAGTGGACTCAGTATATTTCTGCTTTTTTGCAGAAGGATCTTTCCAAGTGGGATTGACCTTTGGCATCTGTAAAAGTGAACACTGAGAAAATGTCCTCTTTTCTATGAACTGCATGTCATAAACTTTTCTTGAAAACCTATCAAATTTAGGCATTGATTTCACTTTGGCCTGTGTTAATTTTTAATTGCCAGTGTTTGCTGGTCCCACTACTTCTCAATTGGACGAGGTCATCTTTTCTAGGAATCATGGCCCAATTTGACCTGCCACTACCCCCACTACTCAGCAACTCTTTCTCAGCTACTAAATCCCCACAGCCCAAAAGACCAAAGTCTTCCTGTTACCCAATCAAGTCAATGTTTGTGAATCTCTGGGTCTAAAAGGAATGAAGCAGAGTTCTATAAAGCTGCCCCTTTCTTCAAACCCTCCTTTCTTTTGGAAGCCTCAACTCAAGGGCAGGTGTGAAAATAGTGCTGTTCCATCTGCTTCTGTCTCCAAGGCCAGAGAGCTAAAGCACAAGGCCTAGGGGCAAGAAAACTAGAGATTCAGAGCAGAAACATTACTGTTTTAGGACTCTTTGGAGATACGGGCTGACAGAGTGGGAAGCAGTGTGATGTATTACTTTAGCCTGATACAATGCCCTGGAGGACGAGCGTCTTGCCAGGACAGCACAATTTACTAGCTTAGGTCTGATTCCAGGGCTTGGGGGAGATAGATGTAGCCAACAAAATTATACTTTGGCAAGAGAAATGCTTTGCTGGACAGAAATGTTGTCCTAAGGGAATAGTTTGGTTTATCAACGTCTAAGGTAAAAGATAATCAAATGCCAAGAGGTCATTTTTATGTTTGAATTATTTCAGTTGTGCCTGCTATATAACTTAGCTACCATTTTCTAGTTATATAGTTTCAATTATTTAGAACATATTACAGGGTTTGAGTATGATCTGCCTGTGACATCTGTCATACCAGTGAAGGAGGCAATATATGGAGTGGTTAAAAGCACAGGTTTTAGAGTCAGACAGACTTGGAATCACTGTTCACCTTGGGCAAGGTACCAGATCGTCTAAGAGTCAGATCCTCTTATGTAAAATGGACATATATAAAAGAGTATCTTCCAGGACTGCTGTGAAGATTAAGTGAGAATGTACATAAAGTGTTTAGCACAATGTCTGGTATGCAATAAACTCTAAATAAATGTTAGTTATTATAATCATTATTATTTGGAGTGGAGTTGGCTAACATAGCTGGGCAGGTATCCTCTTCCTTTCTTCCTCTTAAAAAATGCATCCTTTCCAAAGTTTGGTTGAAAAAGATGGCCTTTCTAGATAAAGAAGGACTGTTCTCCATTAAAATAAATGAGTAACTGTTCCTCTGAAAGGATATCCAAATGTTATGTTTTATAGACTGTCTTGAATAGTTTAAATCTAGAATAGACCCTCTGTGAAAATGGATCCTTCAATCAAGTAAAACAAGGCAAAGTCATATGGGCTTATCTTGACCTTTCGTTACCTTTGATTTCTCCCAAATAACCCACTAGCTAAAATAATTGGTTTTTCACTGATAGTATCTATCCACTTACTTCAAAACAATGCTGCAAGGCATGGGATGGGTATGGGCAACATACATGGTCAGAAGTGGTTTCCCAATTGCTTTCAACCACTGTATGTATTTCTCTCCTCTCTCTCTACTTCATGCCTTGCTTCTTTTCCCCTCCCTCTACATCTTCCACTCTTCTGCTATTGACAGCCATTGACATTCATTTTACTCACTAATGAGCTTTAGGGCAAAGCTCATGCTATGAGAGTTCATGGTAGGCTAGGAATTAAGAGTCTTATTCCTTCCCTGAAATAACTGAAAACTAGGGTTCGCTCTCCTGCCAACCACACTTTGAAAATAACCAGCCATCAAGTATACAGTGTCAGCAGGCCCGCTTAATCACTACTCCATCTTGGACCCAAGCCTGAGTGAGATGAAAACAGACAAGAGAAAAAATAAGAAGGGTGTTTATGTTGAGGAATCGCGTATGTGGACCTTAGTTATCTCATTTTTTTGAGAAAGACTGTGATGGAAATTGTAAGGTGAGTCTGGCTCCAACCTGGAGATTGTAGCCATGCCACCAGCATTATCTCCTAGACTTACACTGTTATTGTTAGCTTACCCTTTCAGATGTGGGAAGAGAGGCCTTGTAGGCAAAACATAAGGCACTCATGAATAGAGAGTAATGCCCCTCTTTCGGGTGCCACAGAAAGATGAATCAGCTAAGGGGTATTAAAACACATTCTCTTTATTTTTAGTTTCACTCTAAAGTCTATCATTTCTCTTTTCTTTGCAACTTGGCACCTGCCCTGTGTTCTCAGGGGCCCTGCTCCCTGTCAGTCTCCTTACTCAGGCCTCTGTGTTTTGCTCAGAGCACATCTGGAGATTTTCCCAGGGGTGGGTGTGACACGGTCAGGATGGCAGGTGAAGCGGTGATGGCTGCCAGGGCAGTCTGGCATGTCTGAAGGGAGAGTGTTGGGAGGTGGAGGCCCCGTAAGGAGAGGCATCTGGGCCTGCATCAGGGAGTGAACTGTTGGAAGGCAGCCTCCACAGCAGCAGAGACAGCCCTTGGCACTATCGCAGAGAAGGAACAGCCAGAGTCAGCGACAGATTGAACACAGGGAGGGGAGGAGGTGGGGGGGAGGGGGAAGGTGGCTAGGGTCTTACATGATATAAATAACTGCATGGTGTGCACTTCAGTGGCAGTTGGGTTGTGTGTGATGTCCCTTTCACGCTGGTGTGCCAACAGTGTTGTTCTTGAATTGAAAGTTCCCAGGGAGTGTTTCTATAGCACCTAGCACAGTGCCAAACGCAGAGAGGGAATAAAAAGAAGGCATATGTTACATTGAAAACAACATTGGATTCCAGCCCCAAATCCTTTGTGCAAACTCACAAGTCACCCAAATTCTCGAGGTTCAGTTTTCTCATGTAGACAACCAAAGTCCTAGATAGTATCAACCACTCCTTCTGACAATATAACTCTAAGCATTATTAATCAATAATGTATATACGGATATCCGTGCTTCTCCTTAATAATAGGGAAATATAGCAATGAAGAGAAGTTTGATGAGAGAACCAGGAGTTCCCTCATTGTCATGTTTAATTTTAGATGAAAACAATATTTATAGGCTGAATTTAAGGAAAGCAGGGATCAGTTTTGAGTCTGATGGAGGTAAATGGGGAAAATATCCAATATGGACGTGCATTTTAGTAAAGGGTAGGGACAAGATCATCTATGGGGATTGCAGAAGCCAGCTCAAGGCAGAATTCAGGTGTGACTTGAAAACTAGGGTCCTGAAGGCTTTGAGGCATGAGGAAGAGGGATGATTCTCCCTTGCGTGGGTAGTTAGAAATGAGAATTAGTGTGAGAAGAGTCTTTCTAGAAATCTCTGCTCATGGCTTTTAATTGTTACTCTTCACAAAGCTACATCTTCAAAGAGTGAATAAGTGACAAGCCCTAGGAGGATTGTTAATGTGGTTGACCAGAATGCTGAACTTCCTAGCGCTCCACGTGGCCAACATTTTATTTCACTAGTTTCCTTGGTGTCTGTCAATGGTGTATGAAGCCTCCGTGTGATATTCAGTTTCTTTCACTGGGGATAGATGCATATTTTCCCTGGAAAATTGCAGCCACAGCTACATGTTGTCTCATCTCTGATGAGATGAATGGGCTTCCAGACAGGTCATCATTGGTGACATCTGCCCAGAGGACAAAATCAGAAGATGACCATTATAAACATGGTTTTTCAAGTACCAACCTGTTTTGTGGTAAAATAAACTAACGTTAAGATTATTAAAAATTTAAAATCTGTACCAGGAGTTCTCAAGCAAGGTGTGGTATTATTCACCAAAAGTTCAGGTATGCGAAGTGAGGCTGAGTGTTTCATTTAGAGAGTGATTGTATTATTTCAGGAACTTTCAGCTACAATCTGAACTCATCAGACCATCCTCTATTTCTTTTCTTTCTATGGAATTTTGCTGCTATAATTTTCCTCCCTTTTCCCTTAATATTTGGTTTCTTAAACACGGCCAATAGACTTTAAGTGCTTTCCTCAAATTATTGTATGTTAGAATTTTGTATATCTTTGGACATTATAGCAAACTCAAGGTCAACTGAAGAGGTTTCTTAGTAATCTTCTGGCAATCACCACGCCTGTTAGCCTTTGGCCATCCCACTCCTCCCGACAGCCCTCCCTACCCCCTCTTCCCTACCAAATATTATTCTTCTGAATTGAAGAAGTGAACTATGAATAAGGAGAGAGAGAGAGGTGTGGTTAAGTTGTAGCTTATCTCCAAGCTAAATCCTGTTCTCTTCTTTATTTCACTTGGGACCCATACGTCTATGTCTCTAAACCTCATTAAATGTTTTTTAGCAAATATTTTATCAATCAAGAAAACTCTCTGATTCTCTTATTTATTTGACTAAATTCAGCAAAGAAAAATATTTTCAGCTTGTGATATTGGCTGGAGAAATTGAACTCTTTTATTTTTATTTTTTCTCACATACTCAAACATGTGGTGAATGACCACATCACTCTGCTCTGGGACCCCACTCTGAAGCAATGACCTCTTGGCCTTCAAGCCAATCACTCACTTCCATGAATTTCCTTTCTGAGAACCAGAGACAGTTGCCCCAGAAGTCACTTTCCAATTTATCACAAAACCTAACCATGGTTGCAGAATTAGTTGGCTTCATTAAGAGCAAGCGGTGTGAAGCCTAATGTGTCCCACAGCTGGGGAGGCGCCTCGTGCAGGGATGCTGGGCCAGGATAACTGCTCATGGGACAGTTTATTTCCCTCAACGCTTGCCTTCTGTCTGTTCTCTTTGGCTCAGATCTGGGTTTGGGACGGCTGCATGGAGGCATTGCTTATGCTAATACTTAGGAACAATCAGCTCTGTCCTATCTAGCAGGAAGTGAGGGCCCAAGTTCAGGGGCTAAATGCTTTCTTTTGATGTACAGTATTTTTACAGGTCAGCCTCCATTCTCTCTTCCTAGCCTTCCAGCAAGTACCTACTTCCTTGTAACCCTGTATCAGGACTCTGACACCTATGAGAGAGGAGAATATAAAATCCACTGACCTCTTGATGGGTATGGTCTCCACTTTGTCAATTAGATACATATTTGGGTAAAAACTGCATATCTAAACCTTTAGGTTGATGAGAAGAAATGACCCTCAAGATCTTGTAGCAGCTTCCGTAGAACAGGGATAGGAGGAGAGAAGTGAAGCTTTTTGACTCTGAGTAGTAGGGGTTCTGGTAAGAGAATGTGGAGGAGCTACACACATCCTCATTTCTGAACTGTAAGTTCAAGTCATTGCTGATGACTTTCAAAGAAAAGAATGATAGGAAAAAGGGGCTGTTGTTTTAGGAACATTTTAATCTACTTCTATAGACTTTCTATTTATTTTTCTTCTCAAGCAACTTCTTATACTCCACTCCCTTCTCCTCCTTTGCTTTTGGTTCAAGACCATATTTTGGTAAATGTCATTTGTGAAGTCCTAGTCTTCTCATATCTTCTTATGGACCAATACTCTCACAGTGCACTGAGATCTGCCCTCGGCAGGCATTTCCCGCAGTCGGACTATGAACCGTCGTAAATTCCTTGCATTCTTCAGAATATCTGTGCCTTCTTTTGCCACATCTTTTTTCCTGGTACTCGACAGGCCACAAATCACCCTGGACCTCTCTTTCCAGGCTGTTGATGTCCTAATACTCTTCTTTCAAACCAAATTCCTTTCTTGTCCTTGGCTGTGGCTCTTGGCTTCCCAGCCTTCTCATCTGCCCCTTCTAGGATAGTCATCTGTGGCATCACCCACAGTGTCTCTTTCTCCTAGCTTTTTATCTGGCCTGAAATCATGCATTTATTCAAATGTCAGAGTTACTATGCAGAACATGCTTAGTTAACATCCAAAACACAATTTAAACACAGTAGTGCAGACAACACCTCCATCCAGCAAGAACGCTCAAGAAGACTCAAACCTGGGGGATACTGATGAGCTAGTGAGAGAGGAGGAGCTACAATAACACCCAAAGATATCATCAAATGAGGTTGGAAAGTTTTCCATTAAACGCAAGTTTCTCCTGAGATGGAAAGGGGACATTTCATTCTTCTGTTCATTTTATATTTAAACCTTTTTCTTTGACAGTTAGAACAATGGGGACTTTTGCAGTAATACACTACCAAAGCTTCCCTTTGTTGAATGCTTTTATTAAGCTACTATAGCAAATATTACTTTTCATGTCTTATTTCATTTACATCCTACAGCAACTACATGGAGTAGATGTTATTACTATATCCATTTTACATATGAGGAAACTGAGGTTTAGGAAGGTTAAGTAACTTGACCCAAACCATACAGTTAGTAAGTTGCAAAGCCAGTTCACCTCAACAGGGGACACCTTGAAAGTGGGAGAATTCCCAGGAGAGGAAAAAATCTGAAGGTGATACTGTTACTTGGGTTCTCAAAGGCATGTAATGCTAATATTCATGAAGGACATGGTTGAGGTCATCTAAGTCAGCCCACTAACCTCAGGGTTTGAGCACATGCAGTAGACAGAGTTTTAAACTAGGTACTCCAGAGAGTGCCAGCAGGAATGCCATGCATGGCTTTTGCCCTTGGGAGAGAAGTCTGTGCAATCCTGCCATGAAGGGCATGTCTGGGTATTAGATGCTCACATCTCACCCAGTACACTGTGATTCTTGCCAGTTTCAGAAGGGGCAGTCAGCTCTGTCACATAGCCAGACCATCTTGTTTCCAAACGCCTTGAACTGCACAAAGTTATAACAACTTTAGCAGAAATTGAAGTAAAGAAATTATATCCATAATCTTGGTATCCCAGCAAATCATATTACCTTCATTTTTCTAATTTTTTTCTAGTTCTCATCCAGATGCACACATCATTTTGACATAGCTACAGTCACAGCCTAAATCTAATGTAGTATTGTTTTTTTCTACTTAACGTTATATTGAAAACATTTTCCATATTGTTACAAAATCTTCATAATTATAATTTTAAAGCTGCAGAATATTTTATTGAGTAGATTTGCCAACATTTATTTTTTTAACCATTTTCCTGTTACTGAATGTTTAGGCTATTTCCAGTTTTATCAGTATTTTAACTAATGCAGCAATAAGTGTCTTTGTGCTTGTAACTTTCTTCTCCTCTGAGATCATTTATAAGAAAAATTCTCAGGAATGGAATTACTGAGTCAAAGCGTATTATCAGACAGACCTATTTTGATGAAAGCCCACAATTTTGCATAAGGACCAGAAGAGAAGACCAAGAGACCAAAGCAGAGAATTATACCCAGATTTTCTCCAAGGATTAGAAAAGAGACAGCCAAGGTAGAGCACAAACAGGAATTTTACCTGCATCCCATGAATTAGAATAAAAGAACCACTTTCTGTTTTCAATTACTAGTGCACTTGCCTTTGAAGGAAACATGGGGAGAAATCAAGACTTGGGCTTGGCACACGAAGGTTTGCTAAGTAGAAGAAAAAGCAGGGGAAATGAAATTGATGACAAGAGACCCTGGTTCTCAACTTTCAAAATCACCAAGTACCTATGAGATTTCTTCTCCAGGGTGGGGAGAGAGGGCACTCAAGGAGCCAAGATTACACCACACCCCACTGTATGGAGTGAGAGAATTTGTGTTCTAACTAACAAAGGCTCTGATCCCATGCTTCTTCTGAACCCGGGTCCCCCCTGGAATACAAGGCTCCTGCCCAATCTGCTGTTTCTCGACCTTCTTCTGGAGGA